AGTTATAAAGTTTTCTTTGTAATAGCAGCTTTGTCTAACCCAGTTTAAAATGTTTCTGAGAATTTAGCAGGCGGCTCTGTGAGGCCGAAGGAGCTGGTTCCAATGCACCATTGAAGTCTCCGTTACCATTTTCAAAGAGTTCAAAAGTGGAACAGACAACCCAGGATCCAAAGACATCACAACTGTAGTCAAAGTTTCAAAAGAGATTAAGGGCACCTCAGGAATTGCAGTTTAAAATTCCAAGGTCTTAGGCAAGTCCTTTTTGAAATGGTAATGTCTTGTACTCAATGGCACTGTGACCTTGGGTGAAATTACTTAATCTCTTTTTGGGTCACTTCCTCACCCTCCCATCTTCTCCCTCTGACCTGGACCTGGGCCTTTCAATCTAACAATGCTCCCTAGAGTCTAGCCTGGTGTCTGGCTTGGCCTTAAGGAGCTCCCCATCCAGATGAGATAAAACATAGAAATGAAAATGTTGGAGAAACTGCAGGATCACTGCAGCATGTTCCCAGATACATCACCTGAGCCTCTGTCTCCCAACAGAGGGAGTGAGCAGAAGACCAGGTCATCACCACACTCACCTGCTTGCCCTGCAGAGACCTGCTCCAAGCAGCAGGCTAGTGCTCCCCCCCCCAATATCATTTTTATGTAAATGATATTGTAAAAAACACCCAATATGGAATCTGGGACACTGGTTGATGTCCTACATGTATGATTATGATGCATTGGAACCTATGTTTTCTCATTTGTAAAATTAGGAATTTATAGTTACTTTTGCTTTGAATATATTTTAGATTCAATGAGATAATAAAGGGAAAGAAAAACATTGCAGGATGGAATGCACTATAGGAATGTTGGTTATTTTTACTGCTTTTCATTAGTATACTCCACAAACTATAACCTGTAGTAGTATTCAAACTGATATTTATTCTTTTCAAGACAGACTGAAGAAAAAAATTAAAAATAAATCAAAATAAAGAATGATGTAAGCCATGGGCAATAAATGTCAGGTGACAGGAGAATTAAAAATTTCTTTTGGAAACAGATTAATTATGAGGGGAAAAATGCTAATTGATGTCTCGTTTAGTTACTTCTTTGGAATTGTTCATCTGTATAAGCATACTGACAAACCGGTGAGGAAAATCGCATAATTCTGATAAGGTTTTCTATGTAAGCCGTCTCTCAAACATTCTTTTACACAGTCACTTTCTTTGATATACAAGCCCATGAGGAACTTAGTACCATGTCGTTTCATTACTAGCTCCATCATCGGGTAAGATCCAATAACAGTGTGCCCTGGAAAAGTGTCCTATCACTTCTCCTTTCCTGGAAACAGAAGGACAAACCCTCCTGGCCGAGGAGCTGGCTGGCACCTGGCCAAAGTGCGCTGCTGTGACCCCTCAGTGAAGCGAGGGCTTTTCTCATAGCATCTAGGGGAAGACCAGCTCTTTCTGGGGCACTGGTGACAACTTGTATATCACTCGTACCTACTCTGCCAAAAGCTGGCACTGAGCAGAGCCCTTGGGAGTCTTACACAGCAGTGAATGGACAGGAAGAGATGGGTATCAGGGACAACTTTTAAAATTGACTTTTATTCCTGCTTAAACTCAAAAGGAATGATATGATCCTGCTTGTAGACATCTCTCTGTGGCACAGTTCCAAGGAAATACGTTCTGTACTGAGCCTTCATATTGGTATGTCTGTACTAAATGAAGTCCTTGCGATGTATTTCAGAACAAATTGAACTTTTTAAAAACCTTTTTTGGCAGTCTTAGTGATTCATAAGAGTACAGTCAATTTAAACATGGTTTTCTAAGATGGAGTCATTNTAGTGATTCATAAGAGTACAGTCAATTTAAACATGGTTTTCTAAGATGGACCCTGGGAAAGAGGGTCTTGGTGTCCTCCCTGCTTGTTTCTGTCTGCGTTGTCTGGTGGTTTTCTCAATGTGGAATAAGTGCATTTACAGAACAACCTCTCCAGCCTGCCATCGGTGGGGACTCGTAGCTACCCCATGTGCTCTTTCCCTCTGTTTATCCTTTCCTTCCTTTTCTGACATTTGGCAACTAGACCCGTTCTTTTTTCTTTACCTATCCCTGATGTTCACCTAAGAGCTTATTTACTCTTGATCAGACTGTTAGGAAATAATCTTAAACAAAACACATGTGAGTATAATCCCACCTTGGTAAATTTGATGGAAATGGCATCCAAGCTAAGCCCCAAAGGCTAAACAGGTGGAAACGTGGGCAGGAACACTACAGCATATGCAAAGGCCCTGAGACAGAAAGAACAGGGCGCAGTTAGGAAACTACTGGTAATTTTATGTGGTTTAAGTGTGGAGTTAAAAGATGAAAAAGCATTATAAATGAGCTGGGGAAACTCATGAAGGGCCTTAAGCACAAAGAAAAGGAACCCAGCCTATTTTGGAGGTGAGATAGAAACTATTTAAGCTTTTTAATCTGGGGAGTAACATATTCCAATTTATACCTCATGAGATGCCTCTGGCAACAGAGAATCGTTTGATTGGGGCAACTTTAGAGAAAAATAAAGAGCGTTAATTTTTATGATGCAGTGCTATAGTTAAATACAGTTTCTAGATCACTTACATATTGCATAATGATATATATATATAACCCTGTGCTAAAAGACAGATCTCTTCAAAATTGGCAAGTATGGAGTCATGGCAAACAAAAATATTGTGGTCGTAGGCCATTGCTCCTGGTCTATAATTTGTGCAATTGAGACAATAGGCTGACAGATCTCACTGAATGTGGGATTATGCAGTTTTATCAGAGCAAAAATGATTGCAAAACAGATCTTTTTTTTCCTCCCAAAGGATTATATGGTAATTAAAATTTTGAACTAAAGAAGTGCATTATTTAGAAAGCATTCTTCAGCACCTATATAACTCAGGAAGAGGGAGGCGATAATTGGAAAACAGAGCTTCTATTTTGAAATTCAGTTTTTCTCTAATTCAGAAACTTCCTAAATTTTGAGCATGAGATTTTTTTTAAACTAATATAGTTAACTGCTATGAATCTCTATCCATGATCAAACAAAACACAAAGAAGAACTAGAAATGCTTTGTTTGAATCAAAAACTGTAGCTCATGATCAATGAAAAGTTTAGAGTCCCTGTCAAAAATTATGTTACTCAAAATGGTCTCTTCAAAAGTACAAATGGGAGAGGTCATTATTTAAATTAAAGGAGACAGAAAAAAATACTTGGAGTTAACTTTTTTTAAATCCTTACCTGAGGATGCGTTTTCATTGTTTTTAGAGGGAGGATGCCCGCTGCAGCTTGGCCCTGAGCCCGGGGGCACTGCTCTGGGGGCACTCCACCAGCTGAAAGGCTGGCCAATGACGGGCTGAACGGGGTGATGGGAGCGAGAAGCGCCACGGAGTGAGGCCGAGCCAGGGAGACTTGGCAGTCTGGGGGTACGGGTGGTGTGTATGGAAGAAGAAAGGGAGGAAAGGACTCTGCTTTCGAGTATGAACTTTGAGAAGTGTGTTTATGAACCGTATCATTCGCCTCGAGCAGGAAAGCCGAGAGCGGGGGGGGGGGCAGAAAGACAAGCAAGAAGACACATGACAAATTGCATCACTTCAGAAAATGCTGCAGTTTCACTGACTTACTGTTCGGAAGATTCAGACCCGCTTCCCCCGCCATGGACTGCTTTAGGAAGCTTTAGATACACCACGGCCCGGCGATGGGCTTGGCACCTCCCCTTGGAGAGCAGTGCTGGGCTCAAGCCCTGTTTAAGGGGCAGACAGCGAATGGCAGGCGGCGGGAGGTCGCTGCAGGGTCCCTCTCAGGTCCTTAAACAGGAGCTACTTTGAATCGGCCCAAGTGGGTGCGTCTGAGGCTCTTTGCCAGTAAGTGAGGGTAGGAGACGTTTCCGATCACACAGGTAGGAACGCAGCGGATGTGTGTGTCCTCCTGCGTGCCTGTGAGGGGCCTGCGAAGATGCTTCCCCCAGGGCAGTGGTTCTACAGCGATGACTCCCACAGTACGGGCAGGCCATTCCTTTGGATACATTACCTGTTTAATGTTCTTTTTTTTTTAATATGTCTTTATTGATTTCAGGGAGAGGAAAGGAGAAGGAGAGAGAGATAGACTCATCAATGATGAGAGGGTCATTGATCGGCTGCCTCCTGCACGTCCCCTACTAGGGATCGAGCCCGCAACCCAGGCGTGTGCCCTGACCGGGAATCGAACCAGGATCTCCTGGATCCTAGGCCGATGTTCAACTGCTGAGCCGCGCCCGGCTGGGCAATAACCTGTGATATTCTGATCAAGAAACCTAACCACTTTTATGCAAACGTGAAACACATGTTCCTATTTAAAAATAATCTTCCTAGAAAATAATTTGTGGACACAACTAATTGGAAACTAGTTATACTTTATATTAATAAACATCGAGTTTGAAAGTTTTGATAAGATGGGTCAGTTTTAAGGGCATCAGGGAAGATCGTCAAGCTACTCTAATTTGTGTGAAGGAGACTATAATTGCATTTTATTTTTTAGCCCATAAGCACTTTAATTTCTGATTTTTTTTTTTTTTTTTTTTTTTTTTTTTGGCCTCTCCTGTTTGCTGCGTCTTTAAAAATGCATGTTATACTTAATGTGAAAAGAAGATTGTATGTGCTCACTCCCTTTCTGCACCAAGTTTGAAAATTCTAAGGAAAAGGCTTTCAGTGTTAATCCTGTAATCGTACAAAAGACAGTAAGGATCACGAAGCTTACGGAAGAGTTGAGCAGGGTTGTAATTTGTTTTCTGTGGTTTGAGTTGAGAAGAACCACAAACAAGCCTCCGTTTGCCTCTGGTCACATGGCTGTCTTGGTCCTTAAGCACCCCTCGGATCCCTTGGCATCCGCTTAGTTTTCCCACGTGTAAGACTCTGAACTATCATACAAAAACGGTGTCCAAGGTATTAGGACATTTCGAGGTCCTGCTATGAACAAGCGATGCAGGAATTTTCTTTTGAATTTTATTCCAGAAATTTCTACCACAGGCCCTTTTGGCATGGGGAGCACCACCACCAGTACCACCCTGCGCACGACCACCTGGAGCGCAGGCAGGAGCACCACCCCGTCCGTGTCGGGGAGGAGAAACCGGAGCACCAGCGCCCCGTCTCCAGCTGTTGAGGTGCTTGATGACAGTACCACGCACCTGCCGCCAGCGTCATCCCAGATCCCAGCTCAGGAGGAGAGCTGCGAGGCCGTGGAGGCCCGAGAGATCATGTGGTTTAAGACCCGCCAGGGACAGGTGGCGAAGCAGCCATGCCCCGCGGGAACTATCGGTGAGTCAGGCCCACCGACCGAAGCTGGAGGCGTGCCCCCACTTTGGCTTGTTTTTCTAGCATTGTTTCCCCCCCCTTTTTTTTTGGTTACTTCACATTTAATTAAATTCTGAACTCAGCTAAATGACAACTTAATGCAGTGTATGTTCACAGTTTGAAAATGCATCCTGAAGCGACAGGTGAGAATTTGACGGGAATCCGTTGCATCCGCACTTTTCACCCATGGTGTGCGGTCTCTGTGGAGGTACACTTGGGCTGTGGACGTCCCCGCGGCTCCAGAGAGGCAGCCCCTCCGTGCAGCAGCCCAGAGGGGAACCACCGGGACGCCGGGGGCAGTGCTCACATGCGTCACCGGCCTCAAATGTTGGTGGCAGAAAGGGAGGCTGAGCACTTGTATGTTAGAAGGCAATCACTGAAACTACCTAAATGTCAACGAAAGAGAAGTTTGACTATTCTTTTTACTGGTCATTATAGCTGTCTTTTTGTAGTGAAAGGCTTTTAACATTGTCAGGGATCATGCAGGCAGGAGGCAAAGCCCCACTCACTCTACATGCGCTAAACAGAGCAATCCTGCATCTCCTCTAAGGGACAGTTAGAACTAAGTAGCTCTTCGCCCCTTCTTTTCTACTGATATGATTCATAATATCCTCAAGTGGTAACCATACATTACATACCATTTTTAAGCCAGAAATAGGTGGATTTTCTCATTTTTACATACATTGATCTTCAAAAAACTTTTCTTAATACAGTGACTAAAATTTTCATGATTCCGTAAGAAATTAAAATGAAGCACACGCACAGTGGCTGTCACTGCCGTGGCCTTCTCAGGGACTGTATCTCTGAGTGTCATTGACTTGGTTCTTTAAGGGAGCAGGTTTCTCTTAGAAAAGTTCCAGTGTGGACGTGCCCTTCTGCATTCTGTGGTCTATGGACTGATGGGAAGGCCAGAGGCATATTGGTTTTTACAAAAGTGCATGTGTAATTTTTCTTTTTAGCAAAGTGTTTAAAACTATTCCTCAACCTTCCTTTTCCATTATGGAGGGGCAGCGTTTAGCTCTCAAGTATTTGAGGTAATGGGGTCAGAAAACAGTTCGAAACCTTCCCTCTTAGCGCTCTTAGTCCCCTCATTCTGGGGACTCATTCATATTATTACAACCCCCCTATTTCTGACATTTGTTGTAAAAAAGTTAGCGAAATACTTCACTTGAAACCACTCTGCAAACTCAGAAATAAGTCGTAATTATTCTGCAAAAATTGGGAAAGATATTTAAAGGAAGCCTTCTGAAGCCCTCCCATGTCACTGTGCATAAATGGGGTTCATTTTTTAAAAAATAAATATGTTTTTATTGATTTCAGAGTGAGGAAGGGAGAGGGAGAGAGAGAGAGAAACATCAGTGATGAGAGTCATTGATTGGCTGCCTCTCGCACGCTCCCTACTGGGGATCAAGCCCGCAACCCGGGCATGTGCCCTGACTGGGAATCGAACCACGATCTCCTGGTTCATAGGTGGATACTCAACAGCTGAGTCATGATGGCCAGGCATGGGGGTCTTATTTTTGCCTTCCTTCTGTCCCCTGTGCTGGTCAGGCCCTCACGGTCTCCCACTGGAATTATTGTAATAGCCTCCTCACACCCTCCATGCCGCTCCCTCTAATTCATCTTCCATGAGGCTGCCACAGTTACAGTTCTGAAACCTTAATCAGCTCATTTCTCTCATCCGCTTAATAATCTTCATTGATTTTCCAGCACCCCCATAAGACAGACAAGGAAGATTATGATCTGGCTTTGCCTATCTTTCCAACCCCATTAAACAACTCCCCTGTCTCACAGACCTCAGTTCAAAACACTTGAAGTTGCCCAAACAGCGTGTTTTTCCTCCACTGTGAATGCCCTTTCCCACATTGTTTTCCTGAAACCCTGAAAACTGACTGCCGTAAGACTCAGTTGCTCCCTTGCCTCTGAAAATCAAGCACTGAGCCCCATGGAGACAGGTACCACATCCATCTAATTCATGAAATTACTCCCCATGCCTGGCAGAGTTGCCAGCGAGTGCTTTAAAAATATTGAATGTTTTTGTTTGTTGCATTACGTTTCTCCATAGCCAGTTGCCTGCCAGGTACCATGCATAGTGTTATAATCAACATTATCTCAGGTTAATGATCTCATTTTCACATTTGCTCATATTAAAGCATAAGTCCTTGTAAGGAAAATGGTTTGAATTTCTAAAACACACCTATTTCTCTCATTTTCTTTAGGAGTGTCAACTTATCTGTGCCTGGCTCCTGATGGAATCTGGGATCCCCAAGGACCAGATCTTAGCAACTGTTCTTCTCCTTGGGTTAACCACATAACACAGAAGGTAAATCATGTGACTGACAACGAAGGTTTGCCAAACCTAGATCCTGTGTTATTATCACCGCTGCAAACAAAAGAATCGAGATTTTAAAAATAATCATAATGTGGAAAAATTCTCCCATTTTAATTTAAGATTTAATGATAGCCTCTAATGTTCTATGAGCTAATTCTGGAATTTTGTTGTTCTTAAGGAGCAATTTCAAGAACTTCTAAGCCAGGCAGCATTATTCATAACAATTTTATTATTAATAAAACGTCTGTGGTGTTGTGAACTACAGATATAAAAGTCCAAGAGGTATTATAAATCAAGCAAGCAAAAGCTTCTAGCATGCATACACATAGATTTTCCTTTGGAAATAACAATTACAATAAAAAAGTCTACCTTTGGAATCTTAAGCCATTTGAAAAATGCTCTGTAACCTAATCATTTATCAGTTAAAAGTATACACACATGTGACAGAATTTTGCAGACTCAAATTGCAGGGCTTATGTGGTTGCAATATGTCGAACATTTTTATTATTAATGCACTGTGGGGCTCTGAACTGATTTCATTACAAACAGAGACCAGATGTGCATTTATGCCAAAAGGGCTATGGGATGAATCCTTATTATAGCAATTTGTGTGGATTTATGCACTCCCAAAATGGAGAGACCTTCTATGGCACATTAGCTATGCTAAGGAATTTCTAAAAGAGGTTTTTCCTGAGAAATATTACAAACGATGGCCTTACTAAAAGCCTGTCTGTGCCATTTGCTCTTTTCTCTATTTGTTTTTAACTAGGCTGATCCTCAATCATATACTGTATAATAATCCATAAATATCTACCCAGTAGATCATTTAGCAGATGAGCCGTAACTATCTATTTACCCTAAATCATGGAAGAACAGTGGTTACATTGACTCTAGTTACCCTCTTACATATGCATCTCCATACTTGTTGCTATTCATAATGATGCTTCTCCAATTTCAGCACTGTTCCTGCCACAGTTTTTATGTCCTTTGATTTTATTACAGTGTAGCTCAGACCCCAGGGCAAATAACTCTCGCCCGGATGTGATCAGATTAAGAGATCAGTAGCCTATCTCCTTACATTAGCTCTTTTAAAAAATATTCCCTACATACTTAGCCCAGGGGTTCATATTAATTCGGTAATAATTCACCTAGAAAGCTGAGTGGTTTTCATGACAATTCCTGAATATGGTTGGGCTATTTCATTGCAGAAATTACTGGGCGGCTTTAATGATGCTCCATTCTTTTCTTTCCTCTGCAGACCTGCTAATCTTATGACCAAAGGGATAATTCCTTGCAAAGACCCCATAGCTGTTGTTGCCCACTTGATTTATGGATGGGGTGCTTTTGTTTTATAATAAATGTGTCCCAGTCTTCCAGAGCCTTTCTGTTTAATCCTATAGAGCTACAAAATTACGCTATACTATAATTTTATTAAGATTATGGCATTTAGGCAACTGGAATTTATATTAATACCTTAGCTTGATTATAAATTTTAAAATCTTCAAATGTATAACAGGAGGCTTTGGAGCACAGCACATCGGCTTACGTAACTAACCCAAGGTCAGTGTTGGAGCTGGAGCTTCAGCTGGGCCTGCCTTTGTCAAGACACCATGCTCACCCACCACTGCCCTGAATCGATTATGATTGCCTTTACGTCGCGTACTCACTGACCTAGTTTCTCTTCACCTCTTTCCACCCTTTTACTGGGTGTGTCCCTCACACCTCCAAATGCTTATGCTACTCATTGAATATAAATGGCATTTGCACAGGTTTCTTTATCACAAAACTCCAACCCTTTTAAATGTTAACACTGGAGACCTCCAAGAGAATTAGCCTGCAGCGTTCACAGAGTTCTTGTCTGTATTTTCTCTCCCTCTTCCCCAAAGCATCTTCCCCAAATTCACACCTTTGCTCATTTCCTTCCTCAGGACCAGGGTCCCCACAACGAACAGATGGAAAAGGGCTGTTGACAGTGGTATTGGGGGAGCAGGAGCGAAGTCGAGCTGCAGGGGACTGATTGGGAACCCAGAGCTAGTTACAAGAGTGGAGCTGTTCCCATCCCAGCTCTGTGGCTGCTGGACCCAAGGAATGACTAAAAGGTGGAAGCAGAGTGTCCCTGAGAGGAAAGGTGACCTATAGACGAGAGACACAGCCTCGCCTCAAGCAGCTTCGCAGAAGGAGATCTAAGGGAACAAACCCCCCACCTCACTCCCCTTCTTGCTTACTTGCCTTCCTGGCCTCTCCACTGGCCACCCCCAGAGGGAAGCTGGAGGAGAGGGGCACCTTAACGAAGTAGGGGTGCCACCTCCGGAGGCACAGAACAGGCGGGGGACAGAGCGTGGCCTGAAACTAGCAAAGGGAGAGCACCCAGAATGTCTCAGCTTTTATCTTTTATTTTCTTCATATGTTTTTGTTGATTTCAGAGAGAGGAAGGGAGAGGGAGAGAGATAGAAACATCAGTGATGAGAGTCATTGATGGGCTGCCTCCTGCATGCCCCCAACTGGGGATTGAGTCCACAACCCGGGCATGCACCCTGACCGGGTGTTGTTGAACCGGTGACCTCTTAGTTCATGGGTTGGCGCACAACCACTGAGCCACACTGGCCAGGCCATGTCTCAGCCTTTAGCTCCTGTCTCACATCCTGCGTCTTTCCCATCCCCTTCTCTTGGCTTCTCCCTTCACCTCCCCACTCTTCCCTCCTTCCTTTCTCTTGCCCCATCCCCCGTCCTCTGCTCTGGCCTCCCCCCTTTTCTCTAATGGATTTTTTTTTATGGCATGTTGAAAAGTTAAAGTGGAACAGGTATCTTTAATGATTCACTTCTCCCCTCTTTCCCCCATTGTAGTTCTGTGAACCTCACACTTTCAAAGTGAAGGGATACTTTCACCCACAGTGAAAGCATAGATGAAAAAGGAAAGGAGGGGGTCTTTCTCTTCTTTAAACGGTGCATTAGTTTCCCCGGCCCAAGGGAGTGTGGGCTAACGTGCCCTGGAGTGCAAGGCACCTCCTTCATGGCTGCATAGTGCTCCTGAGGAGTCCCAAGGACATCCAGGGAAAGAACAGCTCTGGGTCACGGCCTGGTCTCTGCCACGGGCAGGTCATACTGTTACTCACGCAGACACCCGGTGTGCACAGATAGGTGGATCGGGGTGCTGCTTTACTTGGAAAGAGCAAGCTTTATGTTTCAGTTTTGCTAAGAAATGAGCTGTGCTTTTCCTCCTGCAGTCAGGCCTGGAGAGAGAAGGCAGGCAAAGAATCTTGATGGTTTCTGACTCACAAATGAATTCTGGCCACTTATATACTGGTGACATTGTAGATTAAATTATGCGTGGTAATAGAGAGCAGATTACATTTCACTAGAGAAAAACGTAAGCCTTTATAGGTCAGAATTATCATGAAGAAATTGACTACAAACACACTGGCCAGAATGTTTTCATAATGATGAGATGAAATAAAAAGCATAATTTATACAGGAAGGGAAAGGCAAAAGTTATACTCCAAGGGACCTTTACCCCAGCACCAACAGAGGGGTAGAGGGAGGGAGAAAGGCTGGTAGGTGGGGAGACAGGGATGGTAGGGTGGATAAAAGGAAAGGTAGGAAAAAGTAAATGGATGGATAGAAAGGTAAATCGATGCGTCTTTATAATAATGTTTTTAAAGTATTTTTCAGGTTTTATTGAAAGCCAATAAATTAATTCAGAGCTCTGTCTTCTCAAACATGTGTCAAAATACCTTATTTTCTTTCCATGTTTAATGACTGCTTACCAAAATCACAGTCTCTGGCTTCAGCTTGATCTCTTGATTAGACTCAAATTTTCAAAAAGGCGTTTCTATTTTCTGGCCTGGATACCTTTAAAGAGTTCGTTGCATTGCATAATGCAATTTCAGTATAAAATTCTTGCAATGACAGTTTTGAATAGCTTCCATATTTATTTACATGGAAAGTGAGGTGTGCTTCCTACTCCATTACCTAGTCCACTATTAAACGGAAAAGAAATGCCTGGATTGTCACTGGGAAATAGTCTTTCTATTTCCAGCAAAGCGAAGTGTCTCGTTTGTTTATACCCAAGCTACTGACAGATTTTGAGAGAAGTAGGGTTCTTCCTGCAATTTTAAAAGAAGGATTTGCAGGTCTAGAAAATGTTGCTATTTTACAATCTAAAGCCAGTGATTTGCCCTGGAAGACTAGATTGAACCCTGTCACCTAGATTTTAATTTCCCCATTCTTCTAACCTCTGTAGGTCTAATATGAAATGAAAATAAATTGCTTCTTGATTTTATCAGAGCTTGGTGGGGTTTTCAAGACTTGACACTTATTTAACCTACTTTCACTCGTAAGATAGAAGCATTTACTTGTTCACATACCTACTTGACTCAAATTTGTAGCAAAATAGATAGATCTTTCAGTGAAATAGTAGCCATACACCTGAACACTAGGATTAACACTTTTGTGAATTGTTTTGGCACCGATTAATGTTTGATGTAATAAATCTCATGAAGTGTCAAGCTTATTTCAAAGAAAATTGTTTTTACTTGTGTCAAACCTTGAAATGTAAGTAATATCCATCTCTGTCATAATTATTATACTTAACTAAAGCTGCAGGGTTTCCCCTTACCTGTTTAAGTCCTAGCTATAATCCCACCATTTCAGTATAAGCATTAATTTCCTAATCCTCAGAAAACTCATACGATTTCTCAGTGTGCATGTGGTTATTTCTGAGAAATAATTTTAGTGGAATTTAGTAAAAGAAATGTTAGAGATAGACATTTTAACAAGGTCTGTAAGCTAGGATATGTAGAATAACTTTATTTCAATCCTGCCTCTTTGCATAGGCTTGAGGCAGATTAAAGACAAGTGTGTATTTTTGTCTGGAAATAAGGTAATGGTAGTTCAGGATAACAGTGGCGAGAGCAGTAAACAGGAATATCAGAAAGACAGCAGAGCAGCTTCCGATGCCAGTGGAAAGAACATGATCAGTGAAGGCCTGGTCTGGAAAGGCAGCCTGGAACTGAGTCAAGGCTGAGGTCACAGTGACTGTGGGAGAATCCAGTGAGAGCACTGAGTCCACTGAGTCAGGGACACAAGAAGCCAGGGCATGGCTCTCAGTGCCTTCCTTTCCTTCCCATTCCACATCTAGCCAGACAGCAGGCCTATCCATGGACTTGTAAATCTCTGCTCCTACGCTACCCTGGGGCCTCACAGCAGGCCTCCTTTCGTTTACTCCCAGAACCCTCTAAGGCATTCTCCAGAGTCTGATTTTAAATGCACATCTGATTAGGCCACTCCTTAACTACTTAGACACTTGAGCATCTTACCTTGCTCTTAGCACAATTCTCAAAATCTTCATTCCTCTTGACTTCCAAAGGGGGACTTCTTAATCTGCTCCTGGCTCAGCTCCGGGGGTAGTTAAACCCCAGTTACGGTGCCCTTTGTCTCTTCCCCTAACACTCAAGTCCCTCCCTCCTAAAAGCCTTCTCCCTGCCTGGAGGCTCCTGCCTTCATCTCAACCAATTTCTTCTTTTCTGTTCCACCTCAGACTAAATGTTCTTCCTTAGAGAAGCATTTCCTAAATTAATACCTAACTTCATACACCAGGTTGCCCTGACCAGGAATAAACCAGTGACCTTTTGGTGTCCAGGACGAAGCTCCAACCCACTGAGCCACACCGGCCAGGGCATGACTAAGGGTTTCAGTTGTGCTCTTTATAGCTTTCCGAATACCCATTAGGGAGATTGCCTTAAAAAGAAGGGCCTTTCTGTTAGTGATCCTAAGTTCTGTACTGGACTTTACTTAAAAGAAGAAAAAAAATATTTTCTAAATAATGACAATAATAATATATTTAAGTTATACTAGGACAGAATATGTCTATCTTATTTCCCAAAGCCATCTGATTTGTTCACATGATTATGGGATTAGCCTTTATCCCTTTCAACATCTTTGGAGCTTTGGCCATTTGGTATATTCTTATAGAATGTACTTGAGAAATTAGCATGCAGTTTCGGAAAAGGAAGATTCTCGAAACAGCAATAATTTGCTACCTAGTGCATTGGGAGCAAAATCTCTTATTAAATAGGTAAGAAGATGAAGACCACTTTGAAAAGCGGAGATTTTATTTAGAATTCGATTTTCACAGAGTTGAGCAGCCTGTGAGTGTTCATTGTATACTAAGCGCTAAATTAGGCACAATGGAAAACTTACTTGCCTCCGAGAATTTAGAGTATGGTTGGGGATTCGTAATGCAAAGTCATCAACATCCAATTTAGAAACTCACAGAGAAAAATCTAACGGCAACTAGACTTAGCCACCCAAATGGCTAATTAAGGTGAGAACAAGTTTTTGAAGTAAGATTCCTCAGGAGGGGCTTCGTAAAGACATGAATTTCAAGTCAGTTACTGTAGGAAAAAATGGATTAGCAGGAAGACTCGAGGAATGTATTCCAGATGAAGATGGAGTTTAATAACTTTCTTGGCTTAGTGATTATAACTTCTATGCAAGACAGTTATCCACAGAGACCAATAAAATTACTTATTTAAGATGGTTTTTCCTTCTTACTCTGTTTTCAAAATTGCAGTTGAAATCTGGAGAGACAGCTGCCAACATTGCTAGAGAGCTGGCTGAACAGACAAGGAGTCATTTGAATGCTGGGGACATCACCTACTCTGTCCGGGCCATGGATCAGCTGGTAGGCCTCCTAGACGTACAGCTCCGGAACTTGACCCCAGGGGGAAAAGATAGCGCCGCACGCAGTTTGAACAAGGTAAACATCTTCCTTACCTCTGTCTTTAAAGTTGTAGTAAACCAGTGAGACTTCCTTGGCTAATTTCTCTTTTGAATAAAATCAGATCATTCTAAAGTGCACTGCTAGTTACATAGTCAGTTTGCTTCACTGTTTTATTATAATTATGGCCCTATTTAGCTTTTAATCCCCCCCAAATAAATGATAATATATCCATATATATTTTGAATTTACAATTCTATTTTCCATAATGTTTACTGTGTTTTGTGTGCTAAATTCTGACAGGATCAATAAATACAGTTTATTTGTTTATATTTTTCCCTTTCAAAGTTTTATGTTTAAATAATTAACAATAAATGCCAAATCAATAAATAGATATTTAAAAAATAGTGACAATGAGAAAGGATATTAGCAATTCATGATAGATATTTTTTAAATGAAATAATTTAATCTAATTAATATTACATTTAAAAACCCCGGGGGGGGGCAGATAACCATTTTTAAATTTTTATTTTATTTTTATATTTTCATTGCTAAGATTTTATATCACTACGTTAAGGCTTAAAAAGTTTAATGTGTTTCAACAAACTTGAATTGTAAATAATGAAGATAATTCATTTTTTAAATTTCAGAAAATGTATTTTACATATTTTATTTATATTTATAAATATAAATGTATACATTATATATACATGTAAACATTTTATATGTATATTGTATGTAACCTATATACTATATAAACTAAATATTTTATTTACCTAAATATATTAAATGTATATTACATATTTATAAGGAATATAATTGATGTAACAAAATATCACATGGTAATTAACCTCATGGTAAAATGTAATTAGAATTGCTGCCATTGAGTGACCTGTGTTCCCTGAAATGTATTTGTGTAGTAGAGATGATCAGTTATTGAAACTGGATTTTATAGCCTTGAATATCACTATAATCTTACTACTTAAAAGGCAAGAATTTTGCACTGACAGGTTCCTTTATGGAATTCACTAAATGAAAACTCCCCTTTAGAATGAAAAATGACTTTGCAGCATGGTCGTTTAAAATAAATAGATTTATTTCTTTTGTGTCTTATTAAACTTAGGGTCCCACTCATTAAGATGGAACAATTTTTTTAAACATTTATGATATGGCATAGGAACGCCTGATTTTTATCTGGCAAATAAAGTTTTTGTGCAATTTCACCATCAGAAAACATATGCAGTTTTATCTATTAAATACAAATTATTATTAATTTTTTTTCATGCTGAGCATAAAGGAATTATTTTTGTCACTTAAATCCATGATAAAATCAAACCAAGCCCCTGGTAGAATATAAGCCGCAGTTGCCTGTGTAATCTGGGCATGCTGTGATTTTAATATGTTATTGCCCAGGCTGACTGGATGCTATTAATGAATATTGCTGCCAGCTATTGTTATCATAATATACTGCAAGTGGTGGTTTCCGTTAATGTTACATATCCATAACATTACTTGTTATAGCGATACTTTGTATCTTTATTTAAAAATGGTGCTGATGTCTGACAGTATCAGGTAAAGCTGGCAATTAATGTCACCTTCTAACTGGCTACAGCTAATCAGCTTGCCTACTCTGAATATCAAATAACGACATAATGGGCAAATTTCCATTTGTGAAGCTTTTTAATGCTCTCTTTCTCCCCCCCACTTGGCTCTGTACAACCGTTTATATAATGTGATCTGTCCTATGTTAATGTGCATGGGCAAAGGAGACGGGAGGGCAAAGGTTATTCACGTGCTTGCTGGCTTATTCTCATTTCCCGTGGCTCCCACTGTTCCTCGAAGCAGTTATAACCCATCATATTTGCAAAGTCAACTCCTTACCAATCAGTTGTGCTCCACGTTGACGTTCCAGGGGGGGTTAGAGTCCTGCAAAACCGAGATGCGAGTCAATGATCCGAATGACAGCACTAGCAATTACGGTGCGTGCGCCCTTCCTCGCCGCTTAATTCCTTAGAGGAGTAACTGCTCTATGCTCGCTGAAGGATGCACGCATTAAAAAGTTCCAAGTGTTGGCCACACAAAAGGCATCACAGTAACTGCTTCTGAAAACTGAGTAATTTTCTCCTTCAACAATCAAGGCTACTGAAGGGAAAAAAAAATAGCAAAGAGCAGGGAAACCACAATCTAATTTATACATTTTTGAGTCATTTATTGAAACAGGGCAAATAAGCTTATTAGTTATTCTTTTTATTACCAGGGGAAAAAAGTGTTTGGGACTGAACATGACTTGCTGTTAACCTTTTGATCAGTAAAACATCCTCATGTATGCAAATAAATGAACAAACAAAACAGGCTGCTGCTTATCCCACAGAAGTTTCTAAAATGTATAAAGTTTTATTTGGTCAAAACCATCAAACAAAATTTTTTAAGAAATAAAAACAGTGATAAACCAAGATATGGTTTACTTTCTTTTAATCAGAAGTTACTTATCTCTTGGTATCTGTCCCTTAGAATCCAATAGTCATCATGAATGGGCATTTCTATTTTTCAGATAAACAGAATTTTTTATATGTTTGAGCACCTTGTTTGTGGTTGCATTTTAACCACCTATATAGTCTGTAAACCACAAACAACATCCTATCTTTGAAAAATGGGTTCCACATTTGTGTCATAAGTTACTTAACTTCATATGTCTTCATTTGTGGCCCACGAATTAATCACTAACCTGATGTGAAATGAACCATTTCAAGTGAATGAAGTATACTGATTTTTACTAATTTCTACTAAATGTGTTCCTAGACTTCTTTCCATCATTACCAGCTTCACACCACCCACTTTTCACGTGAGTGGTTCCAAAGGGTGTTGGCCACTGTTTTTCAAGCCACGGCTTCCATTGTGCTGCTGCTTAGCTTCCATTCTCCTCCGGAAAGGAGTGCACAGCAAAATAAGGTGTTTTGTGTAGATGTGTTCTTTTATTTTTCTTGTTCCTCCTGTCACTAACTTGTTTTTTCTATTCTGTGTTTAATCTGCTGTCTTATTGGATTCAGCTTCAGAAAAGGGAGCGCTCTTGCAGAGCCTATGTCCAGGTACTTTCTGCGTTTTTATAAATGTGTTAAGTTGTTGAATTGTCTCTGTTGGTGGTAGTATGTGTGGGCCCCTGAAAGAAAAAATTATAATAAACACTGTTGAACTAAAGGAATTTCTGGGAGGGCCCGAAGGGTGGGGAGGGAAACATCATGCGAAAGGGTGTGTGCTCAGAAATGGGCAGTGCCGATGCTCCTTCACAGGAGGGACACGCGGACTGGGAGGCGCTGCGTGGGGGGTGAGAAAGTGATCGTCACTAAAGGTGAGTTGGGTGTAGCTTATGACTCTCATTTCTTCATAGAAGTGTGTATGAGGACATTTCATTAATACATTGGGCCAGCTAATGTTTGAGCAGCGAGTCAATCAGAAATGACAAAGGCGATGGGTGTTCAGCATCCTTGGAATATCGTGCTTCCACACCAGGATATTCGGTGTGCGCTGCGATTGTCTTACTTTCCCGCTCGTTGTCAGTGTTACTAGCAATGTAAACGTAATTTTTCACCAGTTGAATATGTTGCATTTTGTTTCTAAGGAAGCTAAGATCCATTCCAATTTTTATGAGTTCTGTATGAAAAGAAAAAAAAAATCCCAGAAACAAGCTTTATAGTTCCTTTTACAAGAAAGGATTTAGGCAGGCAGTGTAGGGACGGAAAACATTTTCCTTCTTCCTTTCTAAGTTCTTTGGCTGGTCTAATAGTTAAATTGACATAAGACAGATTAACAGGAGAAAAAGAATGTTAATTATATAGGTATGGGAGCCCCGTGAAGACATGGACTCAAAGGCAGTCCTGCAGTTGAGGTTGATACGCCATCCTGGGCTAAGGAAAGGGATAGGGCTTCAAAGGGGAGGAGGGACATCCGCAGGAGCGTGAGAAGCACAGATGTTTGGTAAACAGATGTTTGCCCTGCCATGCAGACAAGTCTTTCAGATTTAAAAAAAAAAAAAAAAAAGTTATTTCTGTTAATAGCTCTCTTTCTGGTATAGGCTTCCTATCCAAATTCTTTTCAGTAGTTAAAGGAGAGGTCAAATCTTTCCTGAGTCCTGGATCTTGATTGCCTTCAGCTCAAAATAATCCACATGCCAAAGTGAACAACTTGGGGTGGTGTATTCTGTTCCCCTTCATCAGGAAGGAAGGAAAAATACCAAACCATGTGCCTAGGAACTTTATTCTTCATGTGTACGTATCATAGCATTTTTTAAGGGGAAGGTCAATTGCCTTTATAAGGAGACATGCCCTCCGAACCAGAGTTGCTGTTTCTCACGTTGGCAGTCCAGAAACCAAACCACATCACAGTTTATTCACAATGAGGGTATTTTGTCAGAGAGTCATTTAAAAGGAGAAAAATAATAACAATTTGAATGTTAAACAGATATTCGGAAGGTAAGCTTTTACTTTATATTTTACTTTGCAAAATAGTGAATCTTTGTGTATAAGAAACTGTTCAGGTTTCTTTTTCTAAGCTTATGGAAAGGAAAATTGCGTTGGGAGGTTAACACATTATGTATCCGTGACCTATCCTGTTTGTGTGCAACAGAGAAATGAAAGTGTTCTTCAGCAATGAACGCTGAAGATCATTTTTGAGCAATTTTCAGATTGTTTTTTATTGCAATCTATGCTATCCCTCAATGGGACCTTGGAGATAATTAGCCTTTCACTATTTAAATCTATGAACTGCATGGCCATTCAAACACAAATCTCTGATGGAAAATTAATGGCACGGTTTATTCAGTGGCTGGTTTCCTGGTGTTATAATTGACTGGCTGTGGGTAAATGTTCCAGCTATTGACTAAACACCTTTATAACACCAAGAACACACAGAATACTGGTGAAGCAGAAATGCTCTGCTCACTAATACATGGCATTACTTCTCTTCATTTTAATGTAGATCATGATTCTATGAAATTCTAGAGTGAATAATACTTTAAACTTTAGTCTATTTGAATTTTTAAAGACTTGTTTATGTTCCCTATTGTTTCTATGTTCAGAGCATGTCCCGAGCTCCCTATGGAATAGGTACGAAATACACTCGAAGCACTTTATGTATTAGATTTAAAAACATAATTGTTTAGTCATGGAGATTCATAAAAATCTGACCTTTTCACTTGTACAAACCAATACTCTTCTAGGTTGATTTTGACCATCTGAACCTGTTTGCTTCACTTTTTTAGCGGCACAGTGTCCATTTTATGAATGAGCTAGATCTATTATTGGTGGGGAGAGGTCCTTGTTCCCACCCATTGCTAGCGAGAGAAGGCTGCTTGCAATATCCTGAGGAAATGAACTTTCTGAGACTCACACAGGAGGATGAGGTGTTGTAGAAAACTTTATTTCTGTGGAATCAAACCCCTGAGCTTCCAAGGTCCTGTTTCCCTTTGTCCCCTGACGGAAGAAGTGTAGTTGTTGCTTCAACAGAGCTAGAATCAGAGCCAGTGTCCAGAGTTTTCCCTTCATGGTGGAGCAGTGTCCAGTCCAGCATCAGGCTAGCTTAGTTTGTGTTCCCGACTGCAGTCCATCAGTCCATTGCATGTGGGGTCCACAGGGCCACATGGTTATGGAGGGAACACAGGCAAATGCAAGGAAGCAGGAACAAGAGAGCCCCATGAGCAAAGAGAAAGAACTCCTTTGTTTAGGGGATTACGTAGTCCCAAATTTTTGCGGACTTACAGTGGGCCTGCCTACTCTGCCCAATCCATGGTTCCCCAGGCTTGACTGACAGGCACTCTCCCTGTGTCACCCTGACTCACTGCACATGTGCCCATCTTCCCCTTTGCCCAGTCCCTTCCCCCAGTGATCTGCAGGCAATGGACGAGTGACTCCCTAGGGAGCATGAAATTGCAGCTTCCTGGTGAAGCTGCCCAGATGGCCATGCTTATAATGTCTAGCCCCCCTTTTGCTCCTTTCCTGTTGTTAATAACTAACTAATCGCAATGATATCAGTATTACCAGAAGGAAACTAAGAACTTATATGCATATATGCATAACCCATGGATACAGATAATAGTGTGGTGAAGGCCTGGGGAGGGGGCAGAAGAAGAGTGGAGGGTGTCAATGGAAGGGGGGAGGGGACATCAACAATAAAGATAAAATAATAATAATAATTTAGGGGGTCCTCAAAGCTAGGTCTTCCTTATTCTGAAGCTCATGCTCTCAATCCCTAAGATACTGTTATTACAGAACTAATTTATTATTTGGTGTTAGGAGTCAGGATATATCTTTTGGTTTATATTTATTGATTTATTGTTCTAGATTTCAGAGATGGCATAGAGCCAAAATTTTTTTTCCCATTTCTTTTTTGTTTTGTTTTTTTTGAGACAGTTCAAATTTACTATATGTTGATTATTTGTACTGCTATATTAAGGTAAAAAACAAATATAATTTGCGCTTAGGTACTTTTTTTCAGAGACTGAGAATAAAAAATTATTATATCGGGAGAAGAAAAAGCAAGTAGAAAACATGGTAACTCTATTTTAAAGGAAGAAATGTCAAACTGATTTTCAAAGTAGCTGCACATTTTAATTTCCACCAGCAATATATGAGGGTTTCAGTTTCTTCACATCTCTGGCAATACTTGTTATTTTCTGTCTTTTATATTATAGCCATCCTGGAACAAGTGAATTGAGGAAGTCTGTAACTCTAGTCATGGAATGGGGTCAGGGCAAGTTTGGAAGTGTAATCCATGAACCAGTAAAAGTGATATGGCTCCAGAGAAAGGTCTGTGGTTTTCATGAGAATCCGGGAGAGCACTATGACCTCAGTCAGCTAAAGAATAGCTACCTTCAGGTCCTGTAACCAGAATGAGATTTACATTTTTTTCTCATTTTTCAACCCCAAGTTCCCATCTTTTAAACAGTAGTGTTAGCATTATTCTGTTGTTTGTTGTCAGTGGTAGGAATGGCACCAGGTGTTAGACTAGTGTGTTCAGACCAGACCTGGGTTCAGCAACCTCGGTACTTGAGTTCTGGCTAGGAAAGAATTCAGAGCCAAGACTCAAACTATAAGAGAACATTTATTTAGAAAATCACAGAGGTAGGAAAAGTAATTCATAGAAGAAATGGGCTGAGGAAACAAGTTATAGAGGCAAAGAAGGGGGGCCCTTGGAGCTTGGGAGTAAGGAAAGTAAAGGTGACACACCTGGGGAGGGAGGAGGGGAAGGAAGAGAGAAAAGGCTCAGGTGTGCTCCCAGGAGGGAGGGTGCAGAGAGAGAGCATGCTGAGTCCTCTGTCCTAAGAGTTTTAAGGGTAGAATTTTTAGGGGAGGTCCCAGACGAAGATCTCAGTAGAATATTCAGCAGTTTTTCAGGTGTGTCATTTCAGAATCAGTGTCTCCACTGATTGTTTGGTCAGCACCAGGGCACGGGTTAATTATCCAATGCACCTGTTCCTGAGGTCAGCCTTGGTGTTGGTTGTCGGGTTTGCTGTTTTTCTGGGCCTGGAGCTGACATACAACTGAGGCCTAGATGTTACCTCTAGGGAGGAAAGGTCAGGGGGTCTAAACCATATGACCAGCAATATCTAGAGGAAGAAAGGTCACCCTGGGGACAAGGTCCCACCCTACAGTTGTCTGTTTCTAGGCATTCAGGGCTTTCTACCCTGGTGACCTTCTGTACCTGGCCCATTATCCTTGCTCTGCTCACGTCTGTCTTGCCTATCACATGTTCAACAGGAACTATTAAGAATTACTGGCATTGGTTTTTACTGCTTTAAAAGCAGGACATTTTCTTAGTTAAAAAATATATATTTTAGTTTTATCAGCATTTGTCCTCCAAACCTCAGAGGCAGCATGTTCTCCGTAGAGAGTCAACAGTTAGCCTGGTTTAATGAGAAATATAAGTACATATATTTATCAGTGTGAATATTTGAAGTCATTCTTTGGAATCTGCTATTACATGCATAATCAGATTGAGAATTAATCAGAAAAAAAATTGGTAAATGCAAGTTAACACACACACACACATGCACACACATGCATGTACACACACATGCCCTTGTGTGTACACACTT